ACCGCAGCTGTTTCTTTGTTAAAGCTGAACATGACTTCGTTTAATGCACAGAAACTCGCGACTAACCTGATAGATTTCAGTCCAGAACCGATGTTTCATCACTTTCTTCACCTTGTTCACCTTTCCTATTCCTTTCAAACAATCTAGATGGTTAAGAATTCCTAAAACACGCGGCATTCCATGAACTTGGCAGATGTTCAGGAACTCGAATGTTTCCATTTCAAAGCCGTATGATGCATCGACCATCAGCAGTACCTAAGAACCACAATGCAGGTCCATTTGGGCAACTGAAAATGACACTAACCTACCAAATCTGCTATTTTTGCTATATCTATCATATGATTGATGTCGTTCTTTACTTCAATGAATTGAACTCGACGTTTCTTCCCAGTGACTATAGTGACTGGACCTGTACGGAATGAAATGGAAGAGTGATCGATACTTGATGAATACTAGCAGCTCATTACAAGCGTAGAAGTGAAACGGACCTTTCAGTTCTTCGAAACCACTCCTCAGGTAGTATTTCACGAGACCTCGAAGAAGCGTGGTCTTGCCGACCTTGAAATAGGTTCTATTGGTAAGGATAACAGCGGATTCAGCAAGATTATGAAAGTCTCACTTTACTGGGACCGACAATCGCGACTATGATTGGAGGAGGAATCACAGGCTTCCTGTCCATGAACAGAATATGTTTCTTTCTTTCGTTGATGTCTGCAGCTCTACAAAGACAGAAAATTGGACTAGTTTTACTAGAGATATTGAAGAAGCCCGACTCATCCTTTCATCGGCCAAGCCTTAGAATTCTGATAAATGCTTACTATATTTCGGTGTATTTCCATTATCTTATTTCCCGGATACCCCTGCGAAATGTTGACAAACGAACCTTCTGATTGCTTTTCCAGCAGCGACTGCTGATTTGAAAGTGAAAGCTTTCGCATTGTTGCCTTTCACCTTGTTCTTTTCTTTAACTTTCGTTACTTTTCCTCCAACTTTGTGCACTGAAAGCACGATAAAATGAACACAAAGAAGCTGTTTCGAAAATTTTAGTTCCAATCTTGAT